TTTTTTTTTTTTTTTTTTTTTTTTTTTTTTTTTTTCTCCCAAACAAGAATGAGCTTGCATTGCCTCTTTGTGTGGAAACTGGGCAAGGAGTAGAGAATATGCATGTTCTTTTGGCTCGTGTTGACCTGAAGCTATTAGAAGTCTAGCCTGCTTGTAGGATGGCTAGAATTAAGACATTACCTATTCATTAAAGTTCAGTTACTCTCAGCTTCCTTGGCAACCAAATATTACATTTAAGCTTCGGTCACTACATTTTTCTGTTATGGTAGGGATACATTTTCATATGTGAGAAGCAAGCACAAAAGCAGGTTAGGTAATGAAGTAATTCTTTTTTTTATGTTCTACCAGCAGATTGTCAGATTTGTAAACGGTGACACTGAAAAAAGTAGTGAGAACTGTGTGGTTTTGTTTGGTTCTGGGAGCCGGGAGCTTTTGTTGGTGTGGTGCTGTTTTGCTCTCTGAGGCAGGGTTCCACTGTTTGCCAGTCTGTTCGGAGCTCTGTCCTCTCACCTCAGTCTCCCCTGGCTCTGGTTTCACTTTTCATTTCTCATTCTCATATTTTCTTTTCTTCCCCAGAAAAAAAAGTCAAACCATAGGGGCCGAAGAGATGGCTCAGCGGTTTAAGAGCAATAGCTGCTTTTCCAGAGGACCAGAGTTCAGTTCCGAGCACCCATGCCAGGTGGCTCACATTCACGTGTAACAACAGCTCCGGGGGATGCAGTCCCCTCCTCTGGCCTCTTCAGTCACCCACACACGTGCACATACGTACACAAGAAAAAGTAAAATAAACTTAAAATATATATATATGTTTTACATCTCTACCAAAATTTCATATGACTGAAATCCTCTTGTCTTGATCCAACATTAAACCTGGGAACACCTCGTGTAACTTGGGAAAGGGCACAAACCATCCTACAAACTATCGTAAAAGAGGCAGATACTTGCACACACTTCAGCTTTGAGGATCAAAGTGTACACGGGAGCTGTGTGAACACAGGTAATTGAGCTATTTATTGTCTGTCACCGCAGCTTTGTCATAGGTCACCCCTGTGCTCTGGCCTTGGGAGCAAGCCAAGCCAGGGTCAGATGGGGTGCAGACCTCCTCCCACCAAGTCATGTGCGGGTCCCCACAGTTTCCACCCCTTTCTCCACAAGCACCTTGCCATGTGGAAATCTTCAGTTGGCTTCCCAGAACCCTCTTGACTGCATGTCACATGCTCTACATAGTTGTTTATAAGAAGATTTTATAAGCTATTAACAGCCATTTTAGCTTTGTCTTCCTGATCTCTGAGGCCGTGCTGTATCCTCCACAGCAGGTCACATCATTAGTGATTAACAGTACATTCGGCCAGATGGAGGGACCTGAGTGAGATGCCCGGAACAAGGTCAGGACAGGCTTTTCCCGCCCAGCAGTGACTCTAACGAACCTCATGGTGAGCTCAAGTCTAGAACACACAAGCAGCTCTAGAGGAAGCTTAGGGTTGGGAATGTGTGGGGCATAGCTGTACAGTTTACCTGGCTACCTGGTCCCACTCTCCCACCTAACACTGTAGAATGTAGTGGGATGTGGGGGGTTATGCCCAACCACAAAGATGGCCTAACTAAGAGGGTAGCACTTTCCACAGGCTGAGCTCTGGGACTCCCGTGTCATTTTCCCGAGAAATGCTAGCCAGCTGCAGTCATGGGGTGCTGTTGGCTGTCAGTGTGTCCATCTGGGTAGCCCTGGCAGTGGCGGGGTTCCAAGTGTCTGGGTCTGGCTGCCCCATGAGCTCTCCACCCAGGGACAGCCACTCAGCCATCTGTGCTGCTAAGTAACTCCTGCATGAGGGGGGTGGCGAAGGGGTGTGTGTCTTGGATGCGCAGCAGCTGCTGGGTTTGCTGGACGTTGATGCTGCGAAGCTCCGTGAGGACAGCCATGATCTTCAGGAACAGGAACCTGTAGGCAGCCAGAGAAGCAGAGAAGTCAGCGCTTCAGGCTACCCCTCCCCATCCCACCGGACTGACCTGACCTGAGAGCACACAAGTTCAAGCTCAGGACAGCCTGGCGAGGATGTTTGGAATTCCTTCAGCCCATGCGTGAAGAGGCAGAATAGCCACGTGCTGGGGCTAAAGTCTGAGGCTCGGATCTACCTCCTCCTCCCCCGCCCGTGGACTTGAGTCCTTGTACATGGACCCCTGCAGAAAATTCAGACCTTGCAGATTAACTTAAGACGTCTTTGGTGGGTAGTCGCTACCGCTAGCAACCCACAGGCTGGAGTCCCAGATCTCCCCGTCTCTGCAGCCAGCATCTGAACAAACACTTACCCATGGTAGGTAAGATAGCTATAGCACCCTAAGCCTCCTTACAGGAAGCAACTGAGCAAATAAAGATGTAACACCCCAAGCCCCACACTGTAAGACCCCAAACTGGCCTCAACCTTCAAAGCCTTAGGCTTGTTGGAATCACGTTTCCTGCTGTCTCCATGCCTGTGGGCATGAGACCAGGCACCAGACCACAGAAACCCGAGGACTGGTGAAGGCATGGGAGCTCTGATCTGTGCCAGTCCCCAAGCAGTTTTGTTTTGTTTTGAGTGACAGATTTGAACTTAGACAATCCGCTAGCTGCCGAGCCCCACCTCTACCCTGTAGAATCCGTGGGCATTGCCTTGGCTCCCTTGCAGAATGCTGTTGGTACCTACCTCAGGGGAGGGTCTTGCATGTTACAGGTTATAATGTACATGTATTTCCTGGCCCCCAGAGCTGACCCTTCCCAATCCATAGTAGCTATGATAGATGTACTGCCATTAGGAGTGGTGTCACTGTTTTTACCGCCATTGTGGTTGCTACCCGCCTTTGCTAGGAGACCCTATAGAAGAGACAGTGGAATTAGGATCTTCCGACGTCTTGATGACAGAAATGTGCAAAGCCCTGGGCAGACAAGTCTCTCTCAACTAGACTCAGGCAAGAAGGCTCAGTAGAGGTCACAAAACCATCCCAGAGCCTTGGTCATCAGAATCATCCCCAGGCAGAGCAGGGGCCTTGGAGATGAGGCCAGAAGGAAGGGGACAGGAAGGAACCCCTCGGATCTGCTTTTCCCAGCCCCTCCTCACCTGTGGGCAGGGTATGGCCGACTACACTCAATGTAGGCCTTCAGGGTGAGGGCAAATCGCTCCTGCAGCTGGTCTACCACGCCGCGCTGTACCACACCGGGGCGATCTGAGAGGGGAGGGGAGGAGAGGCATTGTGGTGCCGGGCCGGGTAGAGCAGAGCAAAGGGAAGGTCAGACCAGCCCTGGAGGAAGGAATCGCTGGCCAACCACCTCAGCAAGCCAAGGAAAAGAGCAGACTCTGCCGTCCGCCTGTGCAGCGGAAAACAAGGCTGATGACAGAAAGGGGGGCCGCCGCCACCTCCCGCAGATCTGGAGGTTTCCGGCAGCTGGGGCGAGCTATCACCTGGGGAGAAGAGAGAGATGGCTTGCATCAGCACGTACTCCTCCTTATGCAGCTGCAACTTCTTGAGCATGCAGTGGAGCTTCATCATCGGGTCCAGCAAAAGCTTCTGGAAGCCGCCTGTGTGTGTGGGGGGGTGGTAAAGGGTAGACAGCCAGCACCTCAGGAACCTGACCCAAGAACCCAGGTGCCCCTCACCGAGCTGCTTCGCTCCATCACCCAGTCTCCCTCGGCTGCCATCTCCCCCCTCCCTCCACCAGGCAGTCTCCCGGGCACCATCAGGGTCTTCGAAGCAGTAGGCCAGCCGACCACACTCCCAGGTCCCGGTTTCCGTGTCAAACATCGTGTTGAACCTCAGGATGCACATCTCAAAAGTGGCCCCCTTCAGCAGGGAGATCTGGTCCTCGATAGGCAGGTCCCTGGCAGCAAGGACAGGAGGTGATGACGGCTCCTAGGTAGGCTGTCCACAGGCTGCCACCAGTCCCCATGTCACAATACAAAAAAAGTTGGAGGAGAAAGAGGGAAAATGGAACGGCCTCCTCCTGAGGACGCGGTTCCTTCCAGGTCACCTCCAGTCTCTCACTCTTAACCCGGGCCATCAGGCCCACCAAGGTCTTTCACTCCATACTCCCTTAGCTTTTCATCCAGGCCCCTCACAGCCTGACCCATCTCTCCCAGCCCCCTACACAGCCCCTGACCAGCACTTAATGTCTTGGCTCTTCCTTGGTATCCTCATAAACATTTGCCTCTGTTTGCCTATCTGGAATGATTGCCCCTTGAAGGAAATCCTGAGGCGCTTTCTGGTCAAGTACTGTCTTCCCTTCCCGGAAGTGTCTCTAGAGAGCAGAATCCGTCTACACTGCCACCCCTTATAGTGGAGTATCTGCTACATAACACATTCCCAGCTGTTTCTCTCCCATGGCGAAAGCCTCGTGTTCAACTCCCTATCATCCACTCCCTGCCTGACAGTGTGCTCCTTGCATTGTGATTCAGCCCCACGTGACCAGGCTAGGCAAGACAAGGTGGAGGGCTTGGGGGCAAATACCCCTAGCACTGCAGACCACATCCTCTGGAGCGGCGGTTCCTACCACACCAGGAGGTTCCTCCCACACCAGCAGGTTCCTGGTTCTCTTGCTGACACCGCTTGCCCTCCATGCCCAGCTCTGGGGAGGTGTGGTCTGTTAGCTCACAGGAGCGCCCACCCTCCCCACGGTCAAGGCCTGCTTGACGGCAGACAGCCGCACACCCACACCTGTCCTCTCTCCTCTCAATGGACTTCCTTCTTTTTCCTTCCAACTTAACTTTTTCTCTGAAATTGTCCAATCAGGGTTTCCCCCCTTCCGGGAGAAATAGGAAGGTCGGATGCCCAGCACGTGCCAACGTTCTTCAGATGTTTTTATCGTTTCATACAAGGTTGATAGGATCAGCTCCCATTCCAAAATGGGGAGGCTGACAAGCCCACAACAAACAAAGCCAATGAACCGTGTAGGCGGGGCCAGACGACATGGGGTCTTTTTGCACCCGTTTTCCCAAAATTCACTGGGGACTTAGTGCAGAATCTTTGAAGTTTTTTGATCATTTCCCTTTCCTTTCTCCATCCCTTCGCTCAGCCCTCCAGGCCTACCTGAAGTAGGATATGACCTTGGCGAAGTTGATGACGCCTTTGAACATGTAGGTTGACACGTCAGCCAGGTGTGGCAGCAGGGGGATGATCTCCTTCCCGTCGCTCTTGGAGGGGGGCTGGTAGTTCCAGATGCTGCCGTCTTCTCCCCGCAGCTGCAGAGAGATCTTCATTGGAACACAATCTTTCATGATTCGGTTCCATGTGACAGGGTCTTCCAACAGTGAGGCCTGCAGAAACTCTGGGAGCTCACAGCCACCGTTAAACACCGTAGGCAGCTGCGATAGAGGGCAGGAGGCAAAGAAAGGGGGAGCAGGGTGTTGTCACGGACAATGTAGGCTCCAGGTGACCAGCTGCGGTCGTGATCACCGGCGTGCACACGTGTGTCCACCTACACACACAGCCCAGGTTTCTTCTCTCGGGCTGCCTCCTGACAGGGTGAGGTTCTGTGAGTTATTGTCCATATCCCTGCCTGGTCAAGTGTGAAGGGCGAGGGTGGCCTCCGTGCCTACTGAATCCTAAAGCTTCCTTCCCTCTGTCGGCCCCAGGGAACAGAGAGAAGGGCTTGGAAGCTGTAGATGAAAAGAGGCGTACCAAGGGCTGGACCATTCTTCTTGGCTACTCTAGTCACCCGAGATACTTGTGACCGTTCTGGGAGGTGGAGGGCTGACACTAGAGGCAAAGACAAAGCTGCCCAACAGGAAGTCCAAACACCCCCCACCCCCCGTCCTGACTGTCCTCCCAGCTCCGTGTGGGCAGCGCATCTGGCCTCCACTTAATCTTAACCCAGTTCCTACTTGCTGCAGACAGACAGATTCTCCAACCTGAATCGGCTGGGGAATCACCAAAAGGTTTCCCATCCCAGAGTTTGGGGTCCGGAGCAGCATACTTGAGCTTTTTCCATTTCTAGCAAGTTCCCAGGGACTCCTGATACCTCTAACCCTAAGACCACTGGCGTGAGAAACCCTGGGGATATGACTCGGGCTTTGAGGAGCTGGCATAGCCATGGGCGCAGCTCTAAGACCACCCTACCCGGAAATCCTTGAAGTGGGAGAAAGTGGTGTCAAAGGTTTTCATCTGAGCATCCATCAGCTCCTGGATCAGCGCCTGCTGTTCTTCAGTCAGGCCCTGCCCTCCGGGCGCTGGCACTTCGGTCTTCTCCCTCCTCTTCCTCTTGATCAAGGCCCGCCTCTGCTCCACAGCGGCATCGGACATGATCACTGTGTGTTAACAGAGCAGGCTCAGCACCCGTGCCCACCCCGCCACCCTCAAGCTCCGCACACCAGCAGGGCTGCAGTTGTGACTGGGGCGGTGGACCGTGGAGAAGAAAAAGAAGACACAGCCCTGACCCACATCTCCCTCACTCCCCACGGCAGAGGACTGGTGCCCATGAGCTCAGGTGGGCGCCGTGGTGCCCTCTGTCTCCGGCACCCGTCCCGGTCCACAGAGCCCCTGCCCCGCGGCCACTCACTCTCCTTCTTCATGCCGCTCTCCAGGCACTTGCGCAGACGGCAGGCCTGGCACTGCCTCCGGGTCTTGCGGGTGATCTCGCAGGTCCCCTTGCGGAAGGGGCACCTCAGCCGGACATTGCGTTTCATGGCCCTTCTGTGGGGACAAGAAAGAACACCAGATATTCTGTGGGGGGAACCCAGTTCCTGGGCCAGGCACCACAGGCCACACTGTCTGTCTCTCCAGCCGCTGCCAGCAGCAGGTAGGACGCACTGGGCATTTTAGGGGACAGGTGTAGTTCGGTCCTCTACCCCAAGATCCAGGAATCAGAAGAGGAGGAGACTCCTGCCATGTTTCGGCAGGAAATGAGACTTTGCTTTACGCAGGCATCTATAGCCCCAGAATGTCTTCCGAGGAGGATGAGTCAACTGCAGGCTCCATCCAGGCCTTTCCCTAAGCACCTCCCATCCTTCTTCACACCCTTGTTACCAGTGGTATCCATGGAGATGGGCTTCTGACTGCATCTCTCCTTGGAAGAGAGAGCCAGAGAAAACCTCCTCCCCTGGATGTCCCTCACCCTGCAACTTCTGAACATAAGAAGTCCCTTCCCTTCTCTAGCTTCCCTTCTAGTAGGCTCTGACTGGCCTTGGGGGTGGGGGGAGGTTGGGAGTTCTACAGAATAGAGGTGGGAGGGCTCTTGTCTCCAGCCTGAAGGGTGCTGAAGGGCCACCAGCCCTTCAGCAAGCAGGCGGGCAGTAAGTGATGGGGTGTCTCTGGCAGATCACTCTCTTTACAGCTGAGTCACCCTGCATTTCCTGCTGAAGACTACCGTCGCTGCCCTAACTTGGTTTCCTTTCATCTGGATGATCCAAGTGAACCCTCGGCTGTTCTGTCCAACAGTGTGAGAAATGAGAGAAGGTGGCTTGGAGCTATGGGAACAGGGGTGCGGGGAGGCCCACACTGGAGACTGAGCTCCCTGTAACTAGCAGGCCTGAACTCTGAAACTTGGGGGTCTCTGACTGTCCGTCAGCCTGGGAGTATTGCCAAGGGCATAGCACACTCTCATCTCTGCAGACCTAGATAAGAGGCTCATGATGTTATGCCCAAATGCCCCCAGAATGGCTAAAGGGGATTGGTGTTCATCAGAAGCGTGTTGTGTATCCGATGCTGGCCGACGTGGTTGGTATAGCTTTAAAGACTTGTCTTTCAAAACCAACCCCGTGGACTTCATCTGTCACCTCCTGGCACAGGAAAGGAGACTGGTCATCTAGGTAAGTGACAGACTTTGGGTCTAAGTTTGCTTGGTAAGAAGGGGAGTTCCCAACCACTGATGCCTCACTCCTCTCTAGGAGTCCCAGGCTGGACCCAAATGGGGAGATGCCCACATCCTGGGGTGGTACACATAGAAGCTGCTTGGACATGTGCTCTGGCATGAAGAACCAGAACCTTCCTTCATGTTGGGTTTGTGGTATATCCTCAGCCCAGAGATTTAGCTGGTGCTCCTTGCGAGTGACTGGTTACAGAATAGGCTGAAGCCAGCCTGTAGCCTACATGTGTGACCGTATCTTCTGGAACAGATTTTTTTTTTTTTCCCTTGGATAAGTATCCTCTTTACTGTCTGGGTTTCCTGACATTATGCTCTTCCAAGGGGAGCCAGCCTGAAACCAGAGCTCTTACATTAGCAGAAGAGAAAAACGCAGGCTCACCCAACTCAGGAGACTTCAGATTTCTAGTTTTAATTGGTCACACCATTCCCTTATTGTCCCATCAGTGGTCTGTGCCAATGTGTGTCAGCCCGCTGTAGCCCACTCAGTCAGTGTTTATGCCACCCTAGATCGTGGTGCCCTTAGACCTATCCTGGGTAGAGTTAGCCCCACGTGACATGAGGACAGCTCTCCAAGACCACACGATCCCCAAAGCCAGGGATCTGGGAAGACTAAACTGGTCATAGCACAGAGCTTGCTGCACTGCTCCCTTGGAGTGATCAAGGACTGTGAGTCCTCCTGTAAGGGACAAACGGCTGAGCACCTCCCGTCTGATGACGAGCAGCACATCTTTGGGGTTGCAGGGCCTTGGCTTGAGCATTCATTTCCATTCAAAAGATAAATCACTAACAAAGACTCAGGGTGAAAAAATGGAATGTTCTGCCAGGTTAGGCTAGAACATTCCACCCTGGTGGGGAGAAGCGGGTCTTGAAAGCCCCACTAAGCTCACAAAACTCAGGTCTCCCGAGAGCCTGCTCCCCAAAGTTATATAAGCGGTAAGCAATTGCTGCGGGAGGGGAGGCTCTCTGGTGGGTCTAACGGCAGGGAAACTTCATTGATGCTCTTTACATGACATCCCCCATGCTCCGATAGGACTTTTCAGTGATACATCTGCCCAAGCCGTCGGTCTCCTGTAATGAACCCCTCAGCCATGCGTCTCCAAGAAACACCCATTCACCACGCTAGATTTACGGGGAATCATTTCTTGGATCCACTACCACTGCCTTACCTGAGGTTCATAGTTTGGTCGTGGTTCCCCAGGAAAAGGCATGGCATGTTGATACTTGAACAAGGACCAACAGAACCAAAAGTGAGGGAGGGAGGAGCAATTGCATGGCCCCCAAAGAGGGTGCTAAGATGTACAAGGCTGAGCTATGTGAGAGAAAAGCATCCTTGGGGGTGGGGGCTGGGGAACGCCAGGGTGACCATTTTCCTTTACTTGTCACAAGGTGCGGAATCCCCTTGGTAAACGGGGAATGTGGGGAGACTGCAAAGTGGTCTTGGACCAGAGAACCTTTTCTCAAAGGGAGGAAGTATGCTGGAAAAGACACACAGGTACACTACACGTATTGTCCACCGCATGGCTGAGAAACGTGAGGAAAGTGAGGAGGGGGTAGCCTGCCATTTCCTACACCTGGAAAGACATATAAGAAAAGGAAGAGGGGGAAGGAAAAGAAGTCTTCCTAGGACCCCAAACTGAGAAGCCATGGAGAGAACTGGACTTTGGGGGAGGGGAAGAAGCAAGGCAGGAATGACAGAAGACCTTCATTAGTTCAATCTTTAATACAGAGAAAGAGAATCATCCCATAATTTACCTCACTACAAAAAAAACTCTGAGAATCAGGGCATGGTTAGGACATGATCTCTTTGGGGTAGGAGAGGCTTTGGTGGATGTGAGCGATTTAGACTGTCGTGTAAATCAGGTTCGTAAGGTGCTAAAGCGCTAACAGGCAGATGAAATAAAGGGGAAATGAACGACGGGAGGTGTCCTGGTCACCTGAAAGCAAACGTGGCAGTATTTGTCAAGCCAGAGATTTGGGGGGGGGGGGGGGGGGGGAAGGCCAAATGCCATGCTTGTCTCTGGAAGGATTTTAAGCCTGAATGGCAGTTTGCCGAGGAAGGGCAAATGGAGAGGAGGATAAAGCAGTACGGGTGGCCCCCACTGTAACTCCTGCTATGAGGGAGGGAGATATGGATGCTCCTCGGATGGGGTAGCAAACATGGGCCACAGTGAGGGCCACACATGGGAGCCACAGGCTCCGTGAATTGTGGATTTCTTGGTTCCCTGCTCATGTGGAAAACCCTTGGGTTTTATTGGATCCTACAGTGACTCATTTCATGTTAACACCCCAGAGCACTGGGTCAGTGTGCAGCAGAGGATGGATACGGAGATATGGTGCGGGTAAAAAGGACTAAGCTTGTCGTAGGGCTGGGTCATTGTCCTCCCTCTCCTGGCTGGGCAGGATGGGAGCCTGTAAAGTTGCCTCCCCGAGGGCTGCGGATGTATAATGGTATTGATTCCATCGAGGCACTGGAAAAGGTAGATATTATTCCTGACCAATGCCTTTTCAACAGCCCAGTGTGGCCTGAGGAAGCCAGATGATTGGTGGGGAGTGACTGCGGATTATAAAGCGCTAAAAGGCCCTGCTCCTCCCCTGGCGTCCGAGGCACCCAACAATGCTCTTTTCCACGGAGCAGCTGAAACAAGCGATGCGGTCCACTCACGCTGTCCTGAACTTTGGGATGATCTTTCTGAACGCTGTGTGAAGGTGTGTCTCTGTCCTTCCTCGCCTGCCTAAAGCCCCTTATGACTGGTTTAATAAAGAGCTGAATGGCCGATAGCTGAGTCAGAAGAGTATAGGTGAGACTTCTGGGCAGAGATAGGAATGCTGGGAAAGGATCTGAGGCGGGCGATTCGCCAGCCAGAGGCGGAGGAAGAAACAGGAGCCCGACTGAGGAGAGGTAAAAAGCCACGGGCCAGAACGTAGATTAATATAAATTGGTCAATTTAAGTGATAAGAGCTGGGAACAAGCCTAAGCTAAGGCTGAGCCCTCATATATAAATAAAAAGTCCCCGTGCCATTATTTGGGTGCGGGTGATCCAAAGAAAGACCCATTATACCCTACTGACACCTTCCCCATTCCTTCAGCTGCTAAAGCCCAAGAGCAATATGCATTCCATGGAACAGTCCGAGTGGACCTTTAGAATACCCCTCCAAGATAGCTTCATAGACTCCCTGTTTGTCGTGGTATGGCGGCCCTTTGTTAGCCTGTCTGCACTCTAGAAGAAGAAAGGTTTCATTACACAGCTGATATGTTAGTCTCAGTAGTTTAAAGAGTTACAGAAGCAGCGTCTGAGAGATATACAAGTGCCCTTAAAGAAATGAGGATGGGAAATCAGTTAGCACGAGGCACAAAACTCTTGGGAACATATGGCCAGGAACGAGGCCTATGATGATGGTATTGTTGAGAGAATTATACTTGAGCCTATGCCTGTAACTGTAAAACGGCTGCAGGTGTTCTTGGGGCTCCCGGGGGTCTTGTACCCCATGCTGTCCTTTATCTAATTGATAAGGGGGAGGTGCTGTGTGGATTGGTTCAGAAAGAAGCTTTTGAGCAGGGTAAGAAAGACCCTTGTAGGACCGGCTGAACAGTAGTGTCTCAACACCTCAGGATCCCTTTGTGCTAGAAGTCACCAGCAACTGAGAGGGCTGGAGGGAGGAGGGGCATGACAAAAGCCACCTGAACAAGCAGTTCCCACGGCAGAGAGGGTCAGAGTCTCATCAACCTGCACAGAACAGCAATCGCTAGGTATATATAAAACATAAGACTGGGATCCATGACTAGTTCCGCTGCAGCGACAGTGAAAGCATCCCAGACGGTCAGGTTTTGGACTGGTGGCCCGAGTGCTTAAAGCAGTGTGGTGTGGTGTCTTTTCTGTCACCCATGCCATGAAGTCTGCTCCGGGACCAGTGCTTTTCTGAGCCTTTCAGGCCCCACCTCACCCCCACAGACTAAACCAACACCCACACTGAAGAAAGCGCTGGAAGGGCTGACACCTACTCACGTCAATGCCCGACACACGGGGGGCCTGCACAGGTAGGACAACAAGCAGGAATGGGTGGCTGCTGCAACACAAATAAATGCTGACACCATGTGGCTGGAAGGAGGGAAGGGTAGCTAAGCGGGCTGAGTTAAGAGCAACACAGTTAATACTAACTCATGAGGCTAGGCGTGTAACAGCCCGCGCTGTATGTATGCAGAGGCCTGGTTTTATGGACGACTCACAAACAGAGGCATCAGCGTCGTTGGTTTGGCCACAGTGAGGACAGACAGACGTGGAAGAAAATATCTAACAGCGTTCAACAAGAGTCAGAGCCCCTCGTGGTTTTCCACTAGCAACCCGTGGCCCATTGAGTCTTTTCACAGACAGCCTTACATAAAGACAGACATCTGCCCCCAGGGCCCAGTAGAGGGTTGCTCATTAGATTCATATACAGTCTGGCTAGAGGGCAGCTAACAAAGTTTGAGAAATAGATAAAGTCACTGTATTCTCATGAGATATTCTGATTTTCTGCATAGTGGCCCAGACATGCACGGCTTGTTCCCCAGTTGCGGCCCTAACAGATGGATGCTCTGATGATGCAAGTATGTAATTCAACCTGTCTCATGCGGGATTGGCAGGTAAACTATACAGGGCCTGTGCTTATGAAATATGCTCTCGCCTGTGTGGACACAGCCACAGCCTCTTCCAAGCATCTCCGTGCAAATAAACAGTGGGCGAAGCCACTCTCTGGGGGGGTCTCTATAAATTTCTGTGTTAGGTGTTACATGTTGGCTTGCCTAAGGAATTGACTGGGGTATTTACTTCATAAGAAATGATATGAAAGGTACTCATAACCCTCTAGAGGCTGAGTTGACTGAAAGAATGAGTTATTAAAATGCAGTTTAAAATGTAACCAGAAGGCACCGTGTGTGTACACATGTAAAAAGGCATTCCCTGGGGCTGTCCAACCACTGAATGAAAATCTCAGTGCCAGAGGTTACCTCCTCATGGTTTCTTGTTTGTTTGTTTTTTGTTTGTTTGTTTGTTTGTTTGTTTTTTGGACTAGGGAGGCTCCACCTACCATAGACTGTTGTAGACTTGCACGGTGGAATTATATGGTAAATCTATATTGGAATACACTTCATGCTTTAATCATAGTGTGAAGAAATCAAACTGGGACTGAGCTGAAAGCTCCTCCTTGTTGGCTGGCTTGCACAGTGTTGGAAAGCACTGTGCAGCCTCCGGAAGGAGAGCTGTTGCTGACAGCCATACTCACTTAAGACCCTGTGAGCTACGCTACAAGCAGGGAAGGAAGAGAGACCTGCCAGTGCAGTACTGGCTCAGCTGTTATGGATACAACTAATAACTTTTCTGTTGGATTTATGGCATATGCAAAAGAGGGCATCCATGTTGGTACTATAATACCAGGCAAAAAATCTCACAGCTAGAGAAAGTATAGGTCCCACTTGAAGGTGGCTGCTATTGTTCGGTTAAAAAACTGATTGCCTACCAATTTCATTCTTGTGCTGGTTAGTTTTCTTTCTTTTATGGTTTTTGCCTTGTCAATTTAACACGAGCTAGAGTCATCTCGGAAGAGAGAACCTCACTTGAGGAAATGTTTCTGTCAGATTGGCCTGTAGGCAAGTCTGTGGGGCATCTTCTTGATTAATGACCGATACGGAAGTGCCCCCGCCCATGGTGGGCAGTGCCTCCCATAGATAAAATGGTTCTAGGTTGTATAAGAAAGGTAATCTAGGGGGAACAAGCCAATAAGCAGTGTTCCTTCATGGATTCAGCTCCCTTCTCACCTTACACCGTGAGCTCCTGCCCTGACTTCCTTTCACAAAGACCTATGATCTGGACGTTTAACCCAAATAAACCTTTCCCTCCTCAGGTTGCCTTTCAGTCATGGCAACTATCACATTTCTATCACAGCAATAGAAAGCAAAGGAGGACACTTCCTAAACATATTTATTCCCACAGATCACTGCTACTGTCAAGCTTGGTTGTTGAAACTCTTTGCAAGTGGCAGTTACTTCAGAGACTCATAACCAGTCAAATTAGAGATAAATGTTGCTCTTGCTTGGCCCAGTGTTTACCTGCCAATGGAAGAAAATAGCCAGGCATACACATTATCCAGCTGAGGGAAGGGGGAGAGTGTGTGTAATTGTTTCCTCTGGATTGAAATAACTGCACCTGGGTAGAGGAGGCAGGTTCACGACACTTGAGAAGCTCACAAAGTTAGAAGTCGGAAGCCTCATGAGGTACTTTCAAAGGTTATATGGACTGTAATCTGTTGCTGGGGGAGAGGAGACTGCTGTGGAGTTGCAAGTTGTGCAGAGAAATAGCAACAATGCGGTTTATATGTATCCTCACTAGAGCCAGAGTGGCGCTTCTCAGCCACGCAGCTGCCCGAGTCACCCATGGACTTCGAAATAATGTGAGGTTCGCCAAGCTAGACGTGGGTAGAATAGTTTCTTGATGTATTGCCAATAGCCTATCTGTAGTGAACAGATGTTTGTTGATGTGTCTCCAGGAAAAGTTATACAGCAGCAGCTGTCTTGGGAATATATGAATGTCCCAAGTGTGGCCTGGAGGTGAGAACTACAAAGCTTCTCCTTTCCTCAAGGCAAACTGGAGCTCTTTCTTCACATATTGCTTCCTGACTTCCCTCCCAGCTTCGATCTGAGTCCTAGTGCTGAAGGTGGCTTGGCAGAGCTGTCACTGGCCTTTCTGTTCTTCATCTGGATGATGGAACCTTTTGTCCAGACCTAACGTGGCGTGAAGCAGGAATTTTTTTTTTAATGAGGGTGTTTTTGCTTTTAATTTTTTGGTCACTTAAGAATCTGTTTCTAGATGAAATTATCTTAGTTTTGATTTATTTTATGTCATCCTTTCCTTAACAACTACCCTGTATATATATATATTTTTTTAATTTATTTATTTATAATTTATTTTTACTTTTTACTGAGCTTTTATTTTACTAAAGAACACATAGAGGAACAAAGTGTTATCTTCATGGAAATAATCCTTTCCTGGACAGTAGCTGGAAGAAGATGTGAAGATGAGGATTCTTCTGAAGTATTATGGCTCTCTTGGAGTACTTAGGAGGGTAGGCTTTGGGTGGGCCATTAGAGCAAGCCGAGGCCTTGAGACATTACCCAGCAAGTTAATGGAAAAACCCAAGTTAGGGGTCACCCAGTGTGTCAGTGCTGGCAAGGGTGTGAAGATTGGTGAGTGGTCATACCTGAAAAATCCCTTGCATCCTTCACATGTCATGACATTGAAATGATAGCCATTGGCCTTGTCCCCGCATACACGGCAGATTTGAAGACCTCCATCTTCCTCATCTGTATTGATGGACTTGTTGGAGACAGAATCTGCTTCTTTACGTTGCACCAGGCCAACATGGCTCCAGCTTTCTTCAGGTCTCATCTCCAGGTTCACATCTGTGTGTCTTGGACTAGAAGTGAAAGACACAGGTAATGAAAGGTTTGTATCAGGGGATTCTGGGAACACTCTTCCCTTTGAGTAAGACTCACATTTGGGTTTGATGCTGGACCCTCATGAGAACTGACATCCCAGAGGAAAAGTGTAAGTAACTATTTGAATTGTTAAGAAAGATGTAACCACTACATTTTTATGCACAGTAGGGGCCCTGGACAGAACACTTAAGCCAGAATATGGGAAAGAGAGGCTACAATGGGAGGAATAAATGAGAAAAGATGCTATCTGGATTGGATTATGGAGACACTGAATGGACTGAGGGGGTCATGCGTTGAGCAAAGGCTGGAAAAGGGAACAACTCATGGGAAAGACTAGCATTCAAAATTATTTCTGGGGCAGAATTCCACACAGAGAGAAAAAGGCTCCCCCCCCCCCAAAAAAAAAAAAAGGTTTTCAATTGAATACCAAACAGGTAGTGAGAGTAGAGCCAGATCACAATGCAAGAATCATTTCATGCCAGGAACTTAAAAAAAAAAAATCCCACTCCAACAAGTATCAGCTGCTTTATGCCTCATCTTTAAAGCAGGGAGATGAATGGCCTGGGGTTCTTTTGAGCTATTTGATGTTTTATGGAGTCACGTGGACCATTACGCCATTTGTATGACAAATTTTGTCTATTTGGAATTTTTTTTAACTAGTTAGGCACCTGCCATATGACAGGGAAGATTAATTGTGTTGGTCTTTGAGGGTTCTTTTGAGCCACTGGGGTTCTGTCAACCAACGTAGAACACAGAGAAACAAAGATGTCTGTCGAGTACATCTCTGTCGTTAAGATGGACAGTAGCTCTCCACAGGAAGCAATGGCGGGCCCTACGGTAAGTTAATTGTGAGCTAATCACACGGAAATTGACTCAATGAATTGTCTACATGAGTAACAGAGTTGGGAAGGCAAGCGGATGAAGATGACCATGATGAGTGACCAGTCCCCTGACTGGAAAAGCAGAGAGCGATCACTTCTCTGATTAGGCAAGAGTGCATTCAAGGCCAGCCTGGTCTACAAAGAGAGTTCCAAGACAACCAGGGCTGTTACACAGAGAAACCCTGTCTTGAAACCCCATCCCCCCAAATTTTGCAATATAAGACTCTTAGAAACAAACAACAACAACAAAAACACAAACACTGGGCAGGACAGAAATATACCACACCCTTGGAAACCTTTCCAGTTGCAGGAGTTCTATCTCATTTTTTTTTCTTAATAAGTCTACATTTGCTCCTTTCACTACTATCCATGTTTCCTTACTTTTTTAAGACATGAGACAACTTAGACACCACTGGTTTAAGGTGGCTTTGGTGATTTAATTGTCTGGCACTCTTCTTCCTGTGCACACCAAGAGCTAAGAAAGTCCCCATTGCGGTCACATCATTGTGATTTGGAAAACGCTAAATTGGTACCGTCTCGGGTCCCTCTTTGGAGAATTTTAGCTAACTAGTCTTTTGTAAATTTATGACAGTTTATTTAAAGGTACATTTTTGTGTTAGTGTGATTGTTTTATGCCATCTTGTGTTTAAAGCAGCATGGAGCAAAGGTTATTCTAGAGTTCCTGATGATAACTGAGGCGCTATTGACAGCTGATGGCTGCTGAAAGAGAAACAGTTTTGTTCTGGGTTATGGTCTACCCAAACTCCAGTGGATACCCACACACCTGTATGTGCCTGGGTGCTGGGAGTGTAATGGGCTTGGCAGAAATGATGTTCTAAAGAGATACTAGTGTTTCTCAATCTGACCATAAGACTATTGAAACAATGGGCTCCCCCCCCCCAACACACACACACACAAATGAGAATTTCCTGAGGTGCTCATGTTGGGAGAAGGAAAAGTACAGCTGGAGGGGATGGGCTACAGCATCAATGGTGACTAGGAGGCCTGGCTGGTCTCCTGAAAGAGAGCTTACACAGTCCTCCCAACGTGTCGGATCACTTTACGGGATGAGACTGAAACCCAGGTAATGGTGGTCGCTGGTGGCCCACAGCTTGATGCTGCGTAGATGGGTGCACATCCTTGGTTCTCTGTTTACACTTCCGCCTCACCTCAGGACCCAGAAGATGGACGCGAGGAATTCGTTCGGTCCGTCTCTGTTTCTCTTTCCAGAGTGACCACACGGAATGCATCCTTTTCTGCTTTGAACTTTTGGGGTGTCTGGGCCTGACCCTCAAGTCTAGTAACAGTAGCACTAGTTGGACTCAATAGGTTATTAAAGAATTAAAAAGAAAACATGATGCTGAAAGGGGGAGAAAACAAGGTGAGGGAGTCCAAGAGGGACTGAGGGGAAAGGGGAGGGAATGATACAGCGAAAAATACTTTGTATACATGTATTAAATTCTTAAAGAATAAATAAAAAATGTATTTAAAAGATTTTCATTTACTGACCAATAAGATACTATCTTGGCATGCATAATGCATAATTTAAAGTGTGGGGAGGGTTTATACTACATTAACATATGGAAACTATCATTAGTGTTTTGTCTCTATTTAACATTTAACTGTAGAATTTGAAACTGAGTGCATGATTTTTGGGTTTTGCTCTCTATAAGTATGTATGAATACACATATATTGTTTTCAACCCAGAGATAGGCTAATTTTGCTGTTAGAATAAAAAATTATCACCGGGCATCAATTTGTTACTAACAGACAATACGTTTTAAAGAAACGAAACCAAGAGTTATGTAATGCAATGCTGTGGTCAAATGGGGCCATTCACATACAGGAGATACACTTATGCCCCAAATGATAAAAAAACATTTATAGACATTGATGCTACTTTCAAAAAGGTGCTATTTCCTCCGCTTTAGGCCTCCAGAGATGGGGGCGGGACAATTTATGTTGCCATCCACAAGAGGGGAGGGCTCTGAGTTAGCACAGGTAGATGCCTCCTGCACACTCACCTGTGCGGTTCCTCATTTCACAGGCAGAAAAGCAGACGGGAGCAAGGACCCCATAGAAGTAAGCACCCCTATATCTAAAATCTGGACCAGTCTAAAAATATATATAAGGAGAGGTACGGACACAGGGAGGACGCCCGGATCAGAGTTTCAGAGCCATCTTTCCCCAGAGTACACTCACTCTCCTCCCGTAGAAAAAGAAGTGGGAGAGCATGAGATAAGGAAGGTCGGGGAGGAAGTTTGGGCAAAAGGGCAGACAGAATTCCCACCCCTCTCTCCCCACTGCCACAGGATCACCAAGTTCACCTTGCAATGCAGAGGAGGAGAGGGCTCATTCATCTTAGAGGTTAAGTCTATCTTTGGGGGAGTCAGGGCAGGAGCTCAAGGCAGGAACTGAAAGCAGAGACCATGAAAGAATGTTTCCTACACTCTTGTTCCCTTGCGCATGGTTTGCTGCCTTTTTCCCTTAGACTGGGCCTCGCCCTGCCTAGAGAGGGCATGCCCACATTGGGCTGGGCTCTCCCACGTCAGTTAGCAGTAAGGCAAATGCCCTTCAGGTCAATCTGATGGAAGCAATTCTGGGAAGGTGCCTGAGCGGTTAATCACCTAACTTCCCTCAGGTTGGTTGGGAAAGGACAGGAAAGCTGACCTCTCTAATAACACCCGGGGGCTGTTAGGATCCTGGATGACTCTGATAAGATCAGCAGTACTTCTGTTGATATTTACCACTTTGAGACTTTAGGGAAACTGACCCACTGGAATTTTTCCATCCCTAAAGCTCCCTTTCCCACCCCCAATCCTCCCGAATCACCTCTTTCTTTTATTTCCAAGTGGCTTCCATCTTGAGGAAGTGAAGTCACTAATCCCCAATTCAGCTGAGTCAGATGGGCAGGGTTTCCTACGGAAACAGGATTTCCCTTCCAAATGCTATTACCTCAGTGGTTCAGACCCTCCCAGCCCAGCTGTCATCTTCCGGATGATAAACCGAGGGAAATCTGTTCCTCCTCGTCCTCCCAGAAGCCCAAGGCAGAGGACAGAAAAGAACATTTTCAGAAGGGGAGAGTATATTTACAGGTTGCGTATCTGACAGTGGATTAATATCCAGACTATATAAAGAACCCAATGCAAAACAAACAAAAAGTTAAACGTCAGACAAAATGAGAACATGAGCTTGGTGTAGCCGTACATTACACCTGGCATCCGCCTGAGTTTACAAAGAGAGCCTTTTCAAAATGGAACACACAAAGTGGGGGAGGGGAGATATAGATTATCTGAATAGACTTTTCTCCAAGGAAGTCTTCTGATTCCTCAGCACCTGAATGGCATTCTCACCCACGGCTAGAGGTCATGCCTTCTTCCCCCCAGCGACCCCGACAACATCCCAGGAGAGGCACTCGGCTCATTCCCTAGCACCATAGACCTCACTGGAGCTAGCTGGCCACATGAGGGGCCACATCATCCTTCCTGGCATCCCAACCCTGGCCTCTCTGGATGGAAGTGGAGTGCATTTTCCAGCACCTCAGTGGAGCCTTGTTCACAGGTGAGAGGCCATTTCCCCTTCCTGCCAGCACCCTAACTCTCAACTCTCTGGGATGGAGCTTGTTCTCAGCGTTGTAGGATCTGAGCAGAGTTCACACCCCAGATTAGAGGCTACATCTCCCTTCCTTAGTCATCCCGACTTCCAGCACCTCAAGACCTAAGAATTGGCTACCCAGTGCCTCAAGGTCAAGGTGGGGCTCACTTGCCAGGGTAAAAGTGAGAGGCCAAAAGATTAAAAATCAGCAGCTATTAATATTTAAGGCCTGAAGTAGCTGGGTGGAGAAGTCCAGGAATGCCCTGAGGGGAAGGACCACCTTACTACATTCTTTCCCCACCCAGTTGCTAGGAGATACAGTTGCTAGGAAGCTGGCCCATCCCCCTAGGGAGGGACACCAGATCATTAATGGTCTGGAGACCTTCCTATAGCCAGTCAATTCAAAAATGTAGCATTTTGACCAATAGATGCTTGCCAGGCAGGAATCGCCCCTGCCTTGGGCACACTGGGAGGGACCAGAATCTTTAAATCACCCAACTAA